CCCCGGTCAGTAGACCTTATGCTATAGCCAGGATAGTATAAATGCATCCCACTCCCTCGGCCAGTAGACCTAATGCCAATGCAATAGCCCTTTCGACCTCCTTGACAAAGACTATCACTATCACTATCAGTCACTGACAGCAGGGTGGAGTCAAGTCAACCATCCACTAAATGAAACAAATTTTAATGTGTAGGTGTGGGTGGGGGTTCTAGTGCAACAAGTCAGAATGCTTCAGGATATGATGCAGAAAATGAAACAAGCGAATGACGAGCAACATGGTTTGATGGCAATGATATAAAAATATAAATAAATATAAATAGGCTACTTATTTAATTATTATGCATAAAATCAGCTGATATAATATACATGTTGGCTATGTGACCGAAAGCACGAGAGCCTTTAATCACCAACCTTTGTTCGTAACAGACTACTGCCGTCAGGACATTTCAAAACAGAACACATATATATATAACAGTAACACAGTACACATATATAACAGTAACACAGTACACACATATATAACAGTAACACAGTACACATATATATAACAGTAACACAGTACACATATATAACAGTGACACAGTCCCATGGGTCACAGCAGACAAACATTACTATGACAACCCACAGTTCAAACAATGAATTCAATGAACATTGTGTAACTGAAAGAGAGTGGTGCTGCTACCAACTTAACGTCCAACAAAGCAATAATTAGGGAGACTAATCCCACTGTCATCATACCAGAGTGTCGCTGTATGTCCCATACACCGTGAGTACACCAGTATTTTGGTCCATCAATGAATTATTTTTGAGGCAGCCATCCTTGTACAGGTGCTGTTTTAGCCCTGTAACCACAGTACTAACAGCACTACTAGTACCATTGGTGGTTTACTCTGAAACATGTTGGTTAAAATATCGTGCAACCAGTAAAAAAAAGGAAAGGAACAAAGCTTTCTACTGCAAAGTTTTTTTCCATTTGCAGTCACAAGCTTTACGATGTACAGTGATGATGTGGAGTCAGGGGAAAACATCTAAGTCATAGTTGGAATTTTTAAAGTTCAGAAAACAAAACTACAGCATAGCATGCACATACATAGCGAAATCTGCAGTTGGCTGGAAAAGTTCTCGTTATCATGTACAAATTGTTCAATGTCTACATGTTTTAAATACCAAGAATATAATTTAAAATATCTGGACCTGAAGACCTTTTTACGTTGATGTTTCACTGTTTACACATTTGCTGTGTGCGAGTGCTAGACTGAAGTTTTGAGCTGTCTGACATTCTTTCTATCACAAGTCAAGGTTGGTCTCATGCACAGCCGACACAAAACGTACTTTGTAGGGCTGCCCACCCACCAGCATAGGTTTGAGTAATCAACATATAAATTTAGGCATCTGGCTTCAAAATATATGTAAAATGGCTTTGACACATGTTTCTGTCAGGAAAGTAGCACTGAGCGACAACTACAAGGGCTCAGTGTAGAGGGGGTGTTCAAGTTCCATCTGCACGTGACATTCGGACATTGTGACCGTCCGGCTCTGGTAGTTTTTCTTCACTTTTACACCGTGAAGGTTGGCAGTGGGCTGAGGTAGCCAAAAGTTGGAAAAAATCTGAATAAGGGGTACCGGGTATTAGGATCATATTTTCGTAAAACTGAATAAAAATCGTAACAATTCCGCCAACTTCGTAATGATTGGCAGCCCTGACTTTGGATAAATCCCACATGATAGCCCTGTGGGGAGGCTCTGTCAAAATACGATTGTCCTCACACGAGAATATGGCAACCAGAGTAACAACAGGAAAAACAAACATCGGAGCTTGTCATGAGGTCATACGGTCATACAGTCATACTGTCTGTCGTACGCCCCAAGTCTTCAAATAAAAACAACCCCAATCGATGTAGAAAGAGCTTGCTAGGAAAATACAGCATAATACGGACAGCTCAAATTCATCAGTAACTTGGTACGTTTTATTGTTTTCCTGAACTCCTGGGAGAGTAGGGTGTGTGCAATGTGCACCACATCTGTTCCCCCTTGACCATCAATGATTTATTTATACAGGCACCAGCCATCCATGTCCAGGTGCTGTTTTAGCCTAAATCTATTCCCCCTACCATTCATATCTTGACAATAATAATAGGGTACCATACCCAATTGGGTGGCCATGGTTTACTGCGCACCTACTTCAAATATTGGACAAAATTGGTGCATAATCCAGAATCTCAAAAGTCTTATCTAAGAGAAAGAAAACAACACAAGACCTTAGATGTCCTGACCTTATGTTCAATACTTCAACAGGTGAAGTTTCAGAGATGAGCGTTCCTCAAATAAAAAAGTAAACAAACTGAGACAGAAGCAACAAAATTTTTTACAACATCTGGTTAATGGTGTAGATAATAAAAAGAACTTTCTAGAACTGAAGGAAAAAGGCAACACCGATTAACTCACTGAGCCCAGGTCCTGAACAAAGACGAGATCGGGATTTTGTCTTTTCTTTTCAAAATGAAAATCTCATTCCAATAATGCAATATAATTTTTGTACGAAGCTTTAGACGAATCATTTTCCTAAGTGGAAATACAGAGTTCAGAAATATACTGAAGTACTAGAAGTATAGAGAAGTAAAGCTACTTTCTCTCCGGTGACATAGTCTACATGTTTTCACTTTGCTTTTATAAATAGGGATTTTTTTAGAACTTTGCAAGACAGCATCATAGTAATTTAAAAATACAGCTATGATCAAGTCCTTATATTTTTGTGTCATAATAATTTTTGGCGTCATTTTCTGTCACATTAAGTGAGAAGAAATGTTTTCCAAAATAAAAAATAGTGAGGTATTAAAAAAATTAGTGGAAAAAAAGTTTTTCAGATAACTTGGTAAAAATAAAAGTGCAATAAAGAGGAAAAATGCATCATTGCCTAAGCCATATATTAAGCCCGTAGCTTAATATTTACATTCCGGAGAACTTTTTTTTAAAAGTGAGAAAATGGCCCGGATGGAGCGACCACCGCTGTTCCGTACTGGCAAGGGCCCAGTGAGTTAAAATTGAAAACTTTGTCTAGAAGTAGAAGGAGCTAAAGTGTGACAGAAGCAGGAGTTAAAGAGTGATTGTGACAAAAGTAGTAGAAGGAGCAGCAATGTGACAGTCCACCTGCTTGCAGTCTCAGATCTAGCAAAGCGAATAAAGAACAACACATTGTTTTGTTAGAGCTCTATGTGTGGGCTGAACAAGTTGTACAAAATAAGCCCCTCCTTTCTGAAAAGCTTTAACTAGTAAATTGGCTGACTAAGGCATCACTCACTCCACCATACGTCATTGTGAAAAGTAATGTGGGGAGCAGTTGACATGTGGACCTTTCATCAATGTGTCATTAATTATTTTTTTGCTCCTGAATAAAAAAAATAAAACAACTGAGAAAAATGTAAAGGTTAGTAATAAGCTCTGTTGTAAAGATAACTGATAAACTTGATTGTAATGAAACAAAGCAGCAACGCTGTGCGAACTATTCCACTTTCTTGAACAGCACCCTCAAGTGTTCCGTCATGGAAGTGTTCTCAGTCTCCATAAACATCACATGTTCCAGCTCATCACCCAGCCGCTTCAACGTCCGCTTGGTCTGAGGAGATGGAAATTAAAAATGTTTACGTCGCGTCCTTTTTCACACCTTCAAAGCCAAAGAAGCCCATCTAATTAATCCCGAGGGTTTAAAACATCTACTGTCTGTCACAACCAATCTAAGCCTGTAAACTTTGCCCGTCAACCAGTCAAAAATCTTTCCCTCATTCTCGTAATCAACTTGGGTGATACCATGGTAAAAACAAGTCAGATTTCACTCAGAAGACATTCTGTATCATCAGTGACCCAGTGGTTAACCTCTCGGACTGTTAATCTTGGATTCGAATCTCGTCAGGGTCTCGACGTTGTGTCCTTGGAAAAGACACTACATAAATTTTCCTCACTTTTTCCATGAGCGAACGGGTACCCCACTATATAGAGCAGAAGATCTTCAGTTTGATATTGTTAGTGTTTGACTGCATGTCATCCATGGATTGCAGTTGCACTGTATGCTTCCCAGGAAGCCGAGAAAGTTTCTGCATGTCCAAAGGTGTGCAGGGGAAATAATCATTGCAAAGTGCAAAGAACGCTGAAGAGCATCGATATATATGCTATATGTGCAATTATTGTTATCATTACAAGCAGATGTGCTAGTCTCAGATACAGCATCTATTGACAAATATGATGACTCTTACCAAAATCTATTCATTACTCAACAATTTTTTTCTCTTCAATTAGCAGAATACTTTCACAGGCCATAGTTTGCCCATCCCCTGCCTTAGAACCTACCTTTTTCACTTCTGGAGGTTTGTTGAAGGAAGTCCGGCCAAGGTCAGCGGTCTCCACGGTCAATGCTTGACCTTGCACGTCGCCCTCTTGGATCTCCACAACACCTGGCCAGGACACACACACAACAGTTTATTGAAGACAACCCAGTCTAACCAGCAGATTTTTAAAAACCAAGATCCATCGAGACAATAATTTCACTTTTTAGTCTTGCTAAACTGTCATTCATTTCCCAGCAATTCAGAAGTTCTACTCCTTTGCCAGCCCAGCTACAACAACACCAAAAGCTGAACCGGGAGTCCAGAAAGAATAAAACATCAGGAAGAATCAAAATGCAATAGAGAGCTTTGGTATGTAAAATCAACTATTATTTAAAAAACCTGCTCTCAATATGAAGGGTCCAGGATAAAAACGACAAACTAAAAGAGAAGGAAAGAAAAGAGTGAGCTCAAGAAAATCATCTCACACACACACCTAAATTATGAGCAGAGACAAAAGCGATGTGGTTTGTCTGCGGCTTGACCCGGATGAATCCCGTCTCTCGGTGAAGAGGCATGCTACCATCTGTCTTGTACGAGTAAAACCTGGCAGACAAACAAATGTACGTTATGCACTTTCCTCTTTGACGATACCGGAAATGATTCAGGTAACAAAAAATATCAGTCTCTGCAAAATGAAATTAAAAACAAAAACCCAGAAAACGTGCAATTTATTTGACAAAATAAGTGGAACAAAATACAGGAATACAATTCATGTTTACATCAGCTGAAACTGACCAGGCACAAAAATAATCAAAATGGCGAGACAGTGATAGTGATATAATAGGACAAAAATAAGCTTCTCTTTAAATTTCTTCTGCTTTTGATCATTTCAAAAGTTTGATAATTATTTATAGTTCAGCTCCTAAAATTCTCTAAATTTCTCGACACAGCCTTTCTTAATAAGCAGTGACACATGAATAATACAAAAGCTCACAGTAGTTTTGATTCCCCAGGGAGGAAATATTCTAGTAAGTATCTCTCTCTGTCTGCTGCGATACTGTATCCCTCTCAGCTCAGATTGGCTCCAACACGCAGGGCTGAAACAGCCTTCCCCTACTGAATGACCTTCCTACTGAATGACCTTCCTACTAAATGACCTTCCTCTACTGAATGACCTTCCTACTGAATGACCTTCCTACTGAATGACCTTCCTCTACTGAATGACCTTCCTACTGAATGACCTTCCTCTACTGAATGACCTTCCTCTACTGAATGACCTTCCTCTACTGAATGACCTTCCCCTACTGAATGACCTTCCCCTACTGAATGACCTTCCTCTACTGAATGACCTTCCTACTGAATGACCTTCCCCTACTGAATGACCTTCCTACTGAATGACCTTCCCCTACTGAATGACCTTCCTACTGAATGACCTTCCTCTACTGAATGACCTTCCTACTGAATGACCTTCCTACTGAATGACCTTCCTACTGAATGACCTTCCTACTGAATGACCTTCCTCTACTGAATGACCTTCCTACTGAATGACCTTCCTCTACTGAATGACCTTCCTACTGAATGACCTTCCCCTACTGAATGACCTTCCTACTGAATGACCTTCCTCTACTGAATGACCTTCCTCTACTGAATGACCTTCCTACTGAATGACCTTCCTACTGAATGACCTTCCATGTTAAAGGAGGCGTAAAAGTAAAACAATTCTGACCATCAAAAGTCACACAAAAAGGTCTTACTTGTATTCTACAATTGGTTTCTTTGGAATGGGTTGGAATTCGGCTTCCTCTGTGTATGTGAATTCAGAGATGGTTGGGTACTGCCCCTTTCCTGTCTCCGCCTTCCATGTTCCAAAAAGCCATGCTAAAGGTTTCAGCAGGTCGTGGAACTTCAAATCTGTGGGGGTAAATAAGAAAGGAGTAGCCGCAAGTCTTGCAGCAAATACAACAAGCTCACAGACAAATCCATATCTCAGAAATACAAAGTTCTACCTGCTCAGTGCCTAGTTTTTACCAATTAGATGGTAACATTTTTGAGTTTCACAACATGTCCAGCTTTTTCTAATGCACTTCTTTAAATATATCTTGATAACCACTCCGAATATTCTGAAGACTTTGATAGAGCAGGATAGAACATTTGGTTTTTTACCTCGTGGTCTAAAGTAACTAAAATTCAAAACAGCCAAAAGTATCAGAAAGAACTGAAGAATTATATGGTAGTAATGCACTGTCTGAAATCAAATCCTTCTAAATACCAAACAATTTTTTTCTCACCAGTAACTAAATATAGATTTTACGTTCCTGAGATTCTTCTGTGACTCTGTCCTTCTCTGTACTGGCCAGTGCTCAGTCGGTTAAACAGAACAGTAGAATGGAAATGTGTCAAGTGAACAGCTACAACTTCCCTTCACTTCAACTTCATTCAGTGCGGTCAAGGCATCTGTTAGAGTCAGAAGTTGTATAGATGTCCCTTTTTTCAATTTACAAAGGCTGAAGCCTACTTTTATCAATTTTAGGAACACCAACAGATCATAAAAATCTGCTTTTAAATATAAAAAATGGAAATTCTCTCATCCTATGAAGTAAAGGTATTAAGGTTTTACTGTAGGCCTACATAAATTCAAAAGTTCTGTTATGTCAATAAATTGTAAGTCTTACCTTCACCCGACATGTTGGCTGATATAACGCTTGATTTTAAAGGCCTCAGAAATTTGCTTCCTGAAAAAAAAAAAAAGATAATGAAAAGGAGAAAGACATCAAATAAATTATATTCAGGAACATGAACAGGCAATTTAGAGTCACCGAAATTGTGTAATTTTTAGCCGTATGACGTACCATGGATGCCTATGAGATGTTTACATCTCTTGTGCACATCCCGCTAATCATGTGGCTCTTGTTCTTCTGTACAGAGATTTAGACAAAAGTACAGCAGACATATTCAGGAGAATAACAAAATCAGTACCAGAATTCGCTAACTAGTTTACTGCTAGGCTTCCAGTTCCAGGCCATCGATAAATATACAGGTCAAGTCTTCCAGATGAACAAATGATTTCGTAAAATGTTAACACCAAAACGACTTGAAAAGGCAGCAATTAACATTTTGACTTAGATTCTATTTTTGCAATTTTTCGAAATTATAGACGACTATATATAGAAGGGTAGGAAATGAGGAAAAAGTGACATTATCAATCTTCAAAAACCTAGGGACCAAAAAATATACTATTGGATCATAGATCTATCTCTATGTTTATGTGAGGCATCATGGTGAAATCAGGCGCTTGTCAAAGTTTAATGAAATGAAAGAAATCGGCATTTTTTCGGCCGATGGGAAATTTTTAAATTAATTTGTTGTGTGGCTTTAACACCTTTTATCCATTAAACAACAAATTTTTGTGTGGACTTAACGGGGGAAAAAGTGATTAAAGGCACAAAAGATATAAATTTTACGTTTCCAAGTACTCTCAGGCTATGTAAGTTACCAAAATTTGAAGGAAATTTTCTTGCTAATTTTATCTCTGAAACCAGGTGACCCTGACCTCCTTCAATCACAAGTATTTCGACTTCTATTCAGCATAAATGAATGGGTTTTTTTTACCAAAAGGAAGGCAAATGAAAAAGGCTTTAAAAGTTGATACCAATACCCCATATATATGACCAAAAATTGACCACTACAGCATCATCACTTCCACCACCAATTGTCTTTATATGTTTAACTTCATTTTATTGAGTGTTATAGTTTTTTTGTAACGTTCTTTTCTTTTATCACATCGCACAAAACCGACAGCTGTGGCCTCTTCCCAACACCTCTCCCCCCCAGCAAGCCAAGAGTGCAAGATCGTTATGCGCAGGCGCAGTCACTTCCCATTGGTCGACATATTAACTTTGCCCCTGGCAAGGTCAGCTCAACTTAATCGTTCTGTTCATGCAATGATACAGGGAGGGCCAGTTTAGAGATCTAAATCTAGTAACTGGATATTAAAGCTCATGTCTCGACTGTTATCATTACGAAAATATATTAAATCTAGAGTCTAGTAAATGCTGGAAAATTTAGAAACACGGGTCGGAAGTCGGAACAGACGTAACGCTTGACTAAATTCAGAGTCCGAAAATAATTTTTCTCTGCGAGTCCAAATAGCCACTTCGTAGGGGTAAGGCCAGGGTTGGGGTAAGGGTGGTAGGGTTTGATTTTGGGGTAAAGGTAAAGGTAGGGGTTGGGTTAGGGTTAGCCTCTAGGTCTCTTTTTTATAGGTCTATTTTACTGCGTTTGTTAGATTCTAGTTGTCGCTTGCTGCGGAAGTTCTGTCCTGCCTTTAAAAGTCAGTCTTATCACAGCACGAAATCTAGACTCTAGATCGAAAGGACCGATAGGCGGACAAGATCAAGAAGCTAAGTTAGGCTTAGAAGCTAGATCTAGATCTAGTAGGAGGGGGCCGCGGTGACCCGAACCCGCTCTTGAGTCTAGATTCTAGATCTGGACTAATCTGAATCCAATGGTGCAAAGCTCGTTGAATGTCATTCCGTTGTTAAATGAAATTTATTCCGCTCAGACAAGCATGACACTTTGTACCTTGTTGTAGAAAGTAGAAACATGAAGAACTTACGCGACTCCACGTACTTTCGATTTCTCACTTGAACTTTATCCTTTCAGCAAAGATGGCGACCGGAAGTAAAAAATACCACAGCCTTTTCTGACTTCGGATGCATCGGAATTAAAAAGGAATTTTTATGCATTATTGATCTCCCTGTTAGAATAAAAATCACATTATTATGGTCAAGGGGAATTAACTGAATTTATTATTAATAGTATGTATTATCTTTTTGTATGATTATTCTTAGTTATTTCTCTTGATGATATTAGTACCCTCTTCCTTGTTGAAAACTTAATTCTTCTTTATTATTGTTTTGGTGAACTTCCACTCACCACTCTTGTGTGGCATATATGTGCCCTGAGCAAGTCAGTTGTAATAAATCCTCTCATCAAAGATCATTGAGTTGAAACATATATATTTTTCCTCCATGTGAAATGATCAGAAATGGCAGCCTCAATACTCCCAAACTTGTGCATAGATCTACAGTTGGTTTGTTGCCATCACAAAAGGTGGATCGGGCAAAATGGTAAAGCGGCTTTTCTCACATAACTACAACTCAATTCAGTTTAAGGAGTTAGCCTAAAAGGGAAGGGGGGGGGGGGAGGCATGTTATAACCTATATATATGGTGTATCTGGTACATGTATGTCTAAATTCATGTAACATATGTCAAGGAAAAGTGGAATGCACACCCTCAAAACTATGGATGTAGTATCAAAATGAGATGAACTTTGGAAGAAAAACCATTAAAATGTTAAAATCTATTAAATACAGACAGGGTGATCGCCCCCAGGGCAGTGCCACTGACTGAAGAGTCTTTAGGTCATTCCCAAAGGGGGGATATAAACACGTTCTTTTATGCACAGTAGAATTGTAAACGGGCTGATTTATCAATGTCATGCTCATATTGTGTCAGAAGGGGAATTGCTGCTTTTTCTTTACTCATCCTCACTATCATCATTTTCCTCTACTTCTTTTGTATATTTGTTACTCTCTTGTGAACTGCTATTTCTGAGGTGCCTTGATAGTCGAAGCAGATTTTGTGATGTTGAGGCTAGAGGGGTGAGCAGAGTAAGCCTGATTCCCCTTTTGGACTTCTCGGTTGACATCCACCCCTTGGTGCTCATATGACCTTATGCAGCTGCGAGAGCCGTAAAACCGTACTATTTTAAGACAAGATGATTAAAAAAGAATGAAACAATTTAATTACGCAACATTTTGATAAGGAAAAGCAAAAGAAAACTTAAGCTGTGTCAAAGAGTGAAAAGTATTGTACTCACAATCAAATTTTATTTCTTGTCTTACAAGCATTCAATGTGACCATTATCAACAACATGAGCAACATCAAAGCCATAAAAAGAAATCACCCCAGACGCATATCAGCATATCAGGGTCCACTGAGTGAATCACTGTTGTTATTCCATGTTGAAGGTCGTCGAGGTTATTGGGCAACTGTGTAACATAATTGCGACCTTTTATACATGCCCACAAGAAAAAAATTACACACTGTGAGGTCTGGGGATCTAGCAGGCCAAGCACAGAGAGCAAGGTTTTGAGCTCCTCTCCGACCAATCCATCGCTGAGGCATAGTTATAAAATTCAAAAATTAGATAACTCCTCTTTCAAAAGGTCATTGACTCATTCCATAACGATGTATTAGAACTGAAGTAATGTGTCATAATATTCTTTTTTATTTCAAATTTAGATAATAGCTTTTTCAAACGGTCATTGATTGTAACGATGCTTGAGAACTGAAGCAAGGCGTCATAAAATTTAAAAATCAGTTCATTCTTTTTTAATGATGTATAGAACCTTTGTGACCCACAGCATGGCCTAAGTATTTGGTTGTTGCAAAAGGGTACACATTTTATGAATATATGATCTTAATGTGCATGCAAGGGATGGAGGGGGAAAGCTGGATGCACTTTGGTAGGCACAAGATCTACTGCATATCTATGTGTGTTCCTTTTTCTATTGTGGTAACTATTTGATTGTAAACAGCTGTAGAGCGCACAAAAAGCATGCTGCATTAACCCTGTGTATCTAAAAGTATGATAAGTCAACCTCAATGAGATTAGGAATAAAAGGTACTAGAAAAAGGAAGGGAAAAATGAGGGGAAAGAATCACTGGAAAAGAAAGGTGCCAAAACGAATAAAATATAATTTTGTTCTGTAGTAAGTAATCTATGTTAGCATGTAATAAAAACAATCCCATTCACTTATCATTAGGACTGTAACAACAGTGTATGTAAACTTGATTCCCGTCTACAACAGGATTTGGCTATAACAGGAAGTATTCTGGTAGTCCTCTTAAACTTTTCAAGGACCCCCGAGCAAGTGTTGAGTTCCTGCATGCTGTTGGCATCGCTGACCGTTTATGACGCCACAGCGCCAGAAGAGAGAGAGGGAGGGAGGGAGGGAGGGAGGGAGGGAGAGGGAGAGGGAGAGAGAGAGAGAGAGAGAGAGAGAGAGAGAGGGCACTCTGTAGAGGGGGGTAGGTTGAGGAGAACCCTATCAAATGCTACAACAACAAATACGACAGGCCAATGAACCGAGCATTTGTGTGTCTGCCTGGAGAAAGGTTCCAGTTGTCAGAAAATTTTTATATTAAAATAAGAACATATTCTAATAGCAAATTCAATGTTGAACACGCTGATTTTTAAATCATTTAAATATAAGGAGATTTGCCACATATTGTAACACAAGGTGTAAAAACAAAGTTTGGAGGAAAACGAAATTTCTAGCACTTTTTTTTAACTTTGGAGAAGTACAACATGTTGCTAAAATAACTAATAAAAAATTAAAATGTTATAAAATCTTGTCCATATGTTATCAAGAAATAGTTAAATGTGTGTTTTCGGATAAAAACAAAATTTTTGAACAGGTAGCCAACAACTTTTGTAGCCTTTTCCCCCCGCTGCTCAAAAATAGCTTTGCCGACAACTGAGACCTTTCTCCAGGCACACATGTCACAAACACATATTTTTTAGAACTCACCGGGAGATCTGAGCCGCTCGTTGAAGAAAAGTTTGACGGTGGCCTGCTGGAAATATTTTTTCATGATGCTGTCTTTATCCGACTGTATTGCCGTTTTCCTCTTCCTCGTGACACAGCTGTTCGGCACAGGCCGCTGTTTTCTCCTTCTTTTTAGCTGTGCCGCGTGTTGATGCATGGGTTGTGGTGGCGGTGGGGGCCGAAGTTGGGGATTCTTTTGTTGTTGCTGCTGCTGCTGATGTTGTTGTTGTTGTTGTTGTTGTTGTGGTGTTTGATGATGCTGCTCTATATTTGTTGTGGTAACGATATTAGTCACAGCAGCAGACTCAGAATCTGTTAAGGGTATGTTCTGGTGCTGCTGCTGCTGCTGTTGTTGTTGTTGTTGTTGCAGGTGTATATGTCTCTGAAGGTCGGTAGTTTGAGGTAAGGCAGCAAAGGCTGGCGTGGTGACAGCTTGTTGATACGAGGAGAGGTCGTGGGGGTCGTTGGGGTCACGGGCAAGGTTTCTGGTCGTAACTTCGTCAACGCCCGGCCATGGCGGGAAGGGTGGCTGGGAGGTGCGCATGTCGTGGTGGGCATTCACCGAAGGGAGAGTGTGGTGCATGCTGGGAGACGTGACCGCCACGGCTGCCGGAAGTGTGGTGGGCTGTTGGTAGTGCTGGGTGTGGAGGCAAAACGCGGGGCTGGGCTGGAACTGTTGGCCCGTCACTGCATAAACAGTGGGTGGTTGGTAGCTGGCCTGGCTGACCATGTACTGGTGCTGTTGTTGTTGTTGCTGATGCTGTTGTTGTGGATGTTGTTGTTGATGGTGATGTTGTGGTTGTTGCTGTTGCTGCTGCTGATGTTGTAGATGTTGTTGTTGTTGTTGTTGATGCAGTTGTTGATGAAGGTGTTGCTGGTGTTGCGGCTGACCATGTGAAGTGCCGGTGACGGGGACTGCCTGGACCTTCAAGTGCGGAGCTATCTGTAACTGTGGCGGTGGTTGTACTGCTTGTCCTTGAGGTTTAGCTTGTTGCATTATGATGGCATGCTGCGGGTGGCCAAGATGGGACGGAGACAACGAGGACACGTTGGAAATTGGAATGTGGATTTCTATCGGCTGCTCCTCCTGACCTTCCGAAATTCCTATAATGTTTAACGGGCCGAGCTCCCCGACAGAGTCACCACTGCTATCGATGTCAAGGTCATTATTCTCAGTGGAATCATCGTCATTGTCATTTGCAAGCCCAGACATGGGCTTCAGTTTGGGATTCACCAGCCTGGTTTTGATATTGTGAATGTCCTTCATGAGAATGACTTTCCCGGTGACCTGCATGAGTTTCTCCCGCAGAAGTTTCTTGTCGGGCTCCAAGCTGAGGAGTGTGGCGATCTCCTCCTGGGAACCCTGGTCCAACTTCCTCTGTTTGGGGTGTAGGCGGAACTCCACCTGTGGGAAGAAAAATATCACTTAGGTTATCAAAGTATTCCAATACTGGCTTTGGGCAGGGGGGGGGGGAGGATTTTCTCAACTTCCTCCATCTATCTGGAACTCTCCCGCAGTATTTGACTCTTTGAGGGGTACAAAGTCGGAGGTAAAATTAGAAATGCATTCAAAAATAAACTTCATGAAATGCCATCTAGAATATTTGTTCTTCATTTTTTCATAGTACTCTTATAATAATCTGACGTGCTTCATCATTGTGTTGTGATAGTTACTAAATGCACGAGTGTCTGTTTTTGTGATAGCGTTAAACTAAATGTATGCATGTTCATGCTCATGTATTTTTTGTGTTGATTATAATTTATCATAATGATCAGCATTCTCTTTGCGCCTGTGAAATATGGCAAGTACATAATTTCTGTGTTACTGTAAACATTTTTACACCAAAATCAACGTAATCATGATCATTTGGGAGACAGGCTGTTTTGACCCTGTATGTAAGAGCCCAGTGCAGGCTGAGCGGAACACAGTATTCCATCAAATTGACTGAGCTACTTTGTCAAAACGGTCTACACTCAGGAATCAAACCCACACCTATTCTACGTGTAACTGCAAAGGACATAACTGCTACACTGTAGATGTCAATGGACATTTCGAACAACACTCAGAAAACACGGAGCCAAAAAACAAAATGTTTCCAACTCGAAGACAAGCTATCATGGACAAAGCAGCAAATCCACGGATTTTCTATTCTTAGACTATGTCACTATGTATTCTTACAGATATGTTTGTCACTTCAATTAGTATTATTATTTCAACTTTTTTTATCTTCCAAATATGAACCCTTCCATCTCCAGCCACTGTTGTGCACTTTCTAACCCCAGCAGTATTTCAGAAAAAAAGGCATGCATTCTAAAAGTGATGTAGTGTCTTCGTAATGAGGTTTAGATAATAACATATATGACAATGTTTAAAGGCAAACGGACAAATATTATAAAAACTTAAGTGTAATCAGTACCGCTGCCATTTCGAAAAATGCGCAAATTTGGTACCTCCCGAAACTGAGGATATATATAATATATGAACGCTCTTGGGATGAAGGGAGGTACAAGCGCTGCTGAAAATATACGCCTATGGGGCTGTGAGGGTTAACACCAATGTAGTTAACTGCCAGGATGCTGGTAGGAGACATAACTAGCTTTAAAAAATTTTGTACAGTGGTTATGGAGCTTTTCATTGCAGTCAAATTGTGAGACAAATGTCGAGATTATTAAACCTTCAGAGAAAAATTTCAAACTCACAAAAAACACAAACTATTTTCTTGACCCTCAAATTCACCGTAGGTGGGATTTAAAATGTAATATTATGTCCTCAGTAACTCATACCAAAAAATACAGCGTCGTTTTCTAACAAGAACTGAGTTACCTCTGAGAGCTCATGATTGTGAGACGGGCACATCTCACGGACAAACAGTCTCTGACCGTCCACCGTGGCTCGTACTTTGAGAGAAAAAGGGCAAGCTTGCTTGATTGTTCTGTTGGAAATAGTACACAAATTGTATGCTGAGACATTGAACAAAGAATTAGATTGAATGTCCCATGGGATTATTATATATACACTAAATACTATATAATCAACGTTGCTAGAAGTAAGATGATCATCATGCACAAAAAGAGACACTCATCACATATTTTTGGGAAGGAAGTTTCTGTAATGAGCGATCACCCCAATAAACACAATATAGAAGAGACCTAACCCTAACCCAGGCCCAACCCCTAACACTAACCCTTCGTAACCCTCTATTCTACTTTGTTTCATAGTGGTAGCTAGTTACGGAATTTCTCCCTATTTTTTCACATCACAATCTCAACCTTTTTATCCATCACAAGCACTATAATTTTGAAAGGCACACACATGAAAAAAAAAATACACAAAAGAAAACTACACAATAAGCCCAGACTGAGTGGAAGACTGAAAATAAAAGATGGGGTGGGGGCGGGGGGACTCACTTGTGGCTTCTTTTTCCAGTGGAATGGGATACATATTTCTTTCCACCATACGTGCAGCAGTAAGAAATGTCACTGTACTTTATGGCTGGGTTATACTTCTTCCGTTGATTTCTTTTGGCAGCAGCCTCCACTTTCCTTGTGTCCCGGATAATCAAGTTCACAAAATTCTCTGCTTCATAAGCCTGAACAGCGCTGGTCAAGTCATCATACGTATCAAATTCTGCTCCAACTTCTACGGCCATGGTCGTAAGCTTCACTCAATCAAAATCAAACCCGCATGAAACTGTACAAGCCAGAAGCAACCATGTGCTGGAAAATTGAAAAAAAAAAATTACCAGCTACTCGTCAAGTCAGTGTGGGTGATAATTTTGTGACAGGGAATCAGTCAAGTAGATCTAGATCACGGCCTCTATAGAGCTAGATTCTAGATTAAGAAAGGATTCAGAAAAAAACATTGACAAAGGCCAATGAGCACACATACTTTCAAAAATAAACTAAATGAGCTGGTAAGAGTAATTCAAAGAAAGTTCTTATACATGGGGCTTTAAAAGTATTTTTAGTTGGTAGAGTCAATTGCCACCGAGTGACACGGTGACAATTGACGCTGGAACCAATTGCCACCGAGTAAATTGGAGCTCTTTTGCATGGATGAGCATGCGTGCTCGGTGTTCTGTGTTCATGAACCTCCGCTATCATGCCTCTCTATACTCTGTGTGTGTGTGTCTCTCTCTCCCTAACCCTCGGCCCCCGGGTGCCAGATTTATGTTCCCTGTACATGATAAGAGTATTTCGGCACCTCGCCTTCCGTCCGGTCCCGTCGATCATTCCAGCCCCTGGCTCAGCACAGGCGCGCCGAGCATCATCCATGTGATGACCGGGACCTGTATTCCCGCACCTCAAGTGCGTGTGCGTCAGTCTGCTTGAGTTTGTAGAATCGCATGTGTTGGTTCTACTCAGAAGCAAGCTAGTCTACGTCTCATTAAAAACACGCCAAGTTGGTAGCTCTAAATGTTCGTCAAAAGAAATTAGAGAACAAATAGACCCACTTAGAACATGAGCAGCTTGAAACGATAGCCACGAAACAAGACTTCCATTTTACTGTACAAAATCTTTCAAATGAGCATGAATTTATGCAAAATGATATTACCTAATAAAAATAAGTTTATATTATAATAAGTTTTGAATACAGTAGTCTCCGCCTAAACGCACGCCATACAAAAGCACGCTCCACTCAAACGCACGCTTCCGTCGACAGGTTTTTTACTCTATATAATTTAAACGTACAAACGCACGGTCACTCCCTCTAAACGCATGCTCAGATCCATGAAACACGCCGACAGGTAAAGCTTGACAAGGGGAAATTTCCACTGCAACCTTCACAGCTTGCATTAATTATATATAGATCTAGATAGACAAGCCTAGAACATCGGATATTTGGTTCACTCTGTGGCAATTGACGCTATCTTTTTAGTTAATTTGGGGTTTCAGCAGTCAGCAGTGAGTTGGCATAGCAAGCCTAGCAGATGATCTAGCATCGGACAGGTCACTAGATCTAGACTAGATCTACGTAAGAGTAGTAAGACGTAAGTTGTAAGATTCCATTCCAGACTGTTTATAATTTTATTTTATTACCTACAAAGGCAGCTTCTATATCAACCCTATTTAACCAAACCCATTGAAATGAAAATATTACCTAGGCGTCATGTGTTGAAAACATTACACCAATGCCTAGTTGTTTCACTTTAGCCGAACGACTGTGCCTGCACTACTATAGTAGATCTATAGAGTCAAGTCAAAAGTGACTGCTCCAGTCCCCAAGTAACAAGAACCGGAAGTTGATAACTTTGTCCATAGCACATGACAGTAGTGTCCCTTGTAACCACGACGAACACTCCGCACTAGTTCTCTGTAGCTGAAGGTTCTTTCGTGGGTTCATTAGTTTCTTCTTTTTTTTTTAAAAAGTGCTTTACAAAGCTCGCAACTGCATGAGGTCACATGAGGGTGGGGGATACTTTAAACATTTTCAGTTGGTAGCTTACTCTTATTGATTTTGGACCCCCAAGGGATCTTTAAGGTGCGAAACTTGCACGCGAGATTTTTCCCCCTTGTCGGAGAAGGCTAAGTGTAGATCTTTCTTATCCACTTAGAATTCTGTGTTCTTATCATAAGATCAGGGGTGTGACTGAAAGACAGCAGTAAGAAGGAGCCAAGGAGTAGCAGTAGAGTAGAAGGCGGCAGAAAGTGACAGCGAGCCCAGAGGAGCGGCCAAAGGAGGAGGGACAGAAAGTGGAGACGAAAGCCTTAGTTTTTTTTACTGGCGAGAAACGCTGATGAGTCGAGTAGGGTGGGTGGGGGTGCTTTGGCAGGGGGAAACTAAGGCAGGGGTGGGTGA